TTTCTCGGCTGGGTTTCTTTTCCTTTCCCTTCTACTTTTCAATAAAACTTTTTGTGAGATTTATTTGGTTCTAAATAGCATACCTTATTTTTGGGATTGCAGCATGATCTTTGGGTAAAATTGTCAGTCCTAAACCAGAATTCCTATGTAGCTGTGGTGCTCAAGTAATCGCTTGCTGTCACCTGGGAAGCTTTTAAAAGCTACAGTTGAAAGGCCAGGTAATAGCTCAAAGGAACAGGAGTCCATGCTTTGTGCACATGAACCCCAGGGTCTGTCCCCAGCTCCTCATGGTTCCCTAAGTCAGGAATGGCCCATGAGGCACCAAACCAGGTGTCACCCCTGAAAACTGTTGCGTCTGACCCCAAAACAAAAGTAATGCTGGACACACAGGGTGTGACCCCCCAAAATAATTTGTATAAGTACTGAGACCAGGCCTGGCAGATTGTCCTAGTTGGAGAGCAGGTACCATGCTAGCTATGGACATTATGGACCCTGAGCTGCCCTGCATGTCAACTGCATGGCCCCCAGCACCACTGGACCTGAGCAAAATTCACTCCTAGACCCTCTGTGCTCTCCAACCCCAGTGCCCTCTGGATTAATCTGGAGTGGGTCACAGAAACTTTTAAAAAAATCCCCTCCCTTTCCTTCTGTCTCCTCTATCGATCCATGTTACATAGATCCTCTGTCCGTCACACTTAGGCCTGGTTGAAGTCATATATCAGGTTGTGGTGTTAACACGCTCAGGTTTGCAGTGCTTACCAGGTGTTGTTTCTGGCTATAAGTCTGGCACGCCTTTTGTAAGCTGTGCTTGCCATTAGTCACGCACCCTTTAGCTGCAATGTTCAAAAACACCTGACTGTGGTGTGGCCAGAATTGTGGCAATCATACAGACACTGATGAGTGTGACACACGCCCCCCCATGGGTTTTTTTTTTTTTTTAGTTTTTTTAAAAAATTAAGTCCAGATTGACTGTTCTTATCCTCAGTTGTAAACAAATTTTAGGTAAAAAGTCATATTTGAAGTCTTTTTGTTCCCCTGCTTTTCAGGGCCTCACATATATGAGACATGTGCTCTAATGTTGACCCATATCTCTTGTTCCAAGAAGTAATCTTTGTAGAATGTGCTAGCTCATTATATTTGAAGTACATACTCTTGAATATGTGCATACTTCAAATCACATATCTCGAATGTACATATATGCTTCAAATCTAATATGCTATACACATATGAAATAATTTTATAAACTCGATACAGTTACAAGATTTATCTGAACATTTTAATTTATTTTACATCTTACGGGTTTTTTTGAAGGGGGCACACCCAGCAGTGCTCAGGGACTGCTCCTGGGTCTGTGCTCAGGGGTCACTCCTAACAGTTCTCAGGGGGACCATTTGTAAATGGGCCAGGGATCAAATCAGGGTCAGCTACATGAAAGGCAAGCGATTTAATCCCTATACTATCTCTCCAGCCTTTATCTTATCTTTATGTTTAATTTAACATGTGAAAATGTCTTTTGCTATTGGTTTATCATTATAAAATATTTGACATGAATTAAATTTTACTTTTGATGTTGGGCTATAAGAATGCATCAGAATTGTGGTTATTATTACTATTATCATTTCGTAGATAGTCTTATGACTCACTATCCTTTTATTATTATTTGACCATTTATCAATCTATTGCACACTGTAAAAGTCTGTAAATTCCACAGTGTAAATAAGTACATTCAGTGTCTAAATACATTCAGCTGACTTGGAGAGGTATGGAGAATACCTTGTAGAAATTGTATGGAGTATATGGTATGGTATCTCCAACACATGGTGGTTGAACATTTCCTTTTTTGGTATCATTCCCACGAGAAGAAAGAGATTTTATAGTTGGGTATGTGATTTGTAGTCTTAGAGTGATTGCCATTCAATGATTAAATAAAAGGGGAGAATAAATACCATTCTTCCCTTTTTAAGGCTTAAGGACATATACACAGAATGAATGCAAATCTTTTCATTGTGGAAGGCAATTTGGCCTACTGATAGCACATATATAAACGCGAGTGGAAGTCAGTAATGGTGCATTAACAAGAGATCAAAATGCAGGGAGGTAAAAATCTCAGTATTTTTCAAGAAATAACTTTGAAAACAAAATATAATGGAAGCTACACATGTAGAAAATGAGGAAAATCCTTTTATGAAAGCAGAATCCTGATTTGTTAAATGTCCTTTGGTAAGTGAGTGGACAAAATGGTTTCCTGAATTGGCTAGCAGTGCATTCCACAGTGATTGCTAAAATGATGTGTCCATGGGAGAGCTTACTCTATCACTCAAGTTAACAAACTATTTTTTTTTCTTTTCAAAAATGAAGTTCTACATGAATGTTATCCTCGCAGGTATGAATTTAATTCAAAAGAAGGTATTTTGTAGATGGAAAAATTAACTATTCACTTGTCCTTAATAGAAAAGAACTGTGTGGAAAAACATCATCATAACTGTCACTGTCACTGTCATTCCGTTGTTCATCGATTTGCTCGAGCGGGCACCAGTAATGTCTCCAGTATGAGACTTGTTATTACCGTTTTTGGCATATTTAATATGCCACAGGGAGCTTGCCAGGCTCTGCCATGCGGGCAGGATACTCTCGGTAGTTCTCCGGGCTCTCCAAGAGGGACAGAGGAATGGAACCCGGGTGGGCTGTGTGCAAGGCAAATGCTCTACCTGCTGTGCTGTCGCTCTAGCCCATCATCATAACTAATACAGTTATTTTTTTTTTAAAGATGCCAGTTTGCAGTGTTAATTTGCAGACTTGAATTTCAACCGTTAGTGATATTTATTCTTTGATTTTGGTTATATCTCAGAACACCAATTAGAGCAATGAAACTATCGAATATTTGTTATAATATTTTGCTCTTTCATATGAATTCTGTGATTGGGCAATAAACAATTTTATCAGAAAAAAAGTACTTCTTTGATTTCTTTAAGTTTTGAAAACATAATGCGTTCTTTTTTTGGGTAAATGCTTGTTAGTTATTACATAGAATAAAGCCCTTATTTTAAAATACATTTTAAAATATAGAAAATTACATTCATAACTGAAACGGGATAGTTACCTCCATTTTATCAAGAAAAAATAATTCACTCTTGATAAGTTAACACAGGAAAGATAGTAGTAAGCATCCTCTAGTTCAAGAATTAGTCACAGTTTAGTAGGTTATCTTTGAAATATAAGGCTTTATAAGTTATTATGCTTGCTATTCTTATGCAGACACAAATGTAACTAACTTGTTGTCATTATGGCATTTGCCTTGCGTGCAGCCAGCTTGGCTGAGCCGGCTGCCCCTCTCGGAGAGCCCGGCAAGCTACTGAGAGTATCTTGCCTGCACAGCAAAGCCTGGCAAGCTACCCATGACGTATTCAATATGCCAAATACAGTAACAACAAGTCTCACAATGGAGACGTTACTGGGCCCACTGGAGCAAATCGATGAACAACAGGAGGATAGTGAAAGTGATGGTCTGAAGTTAAATTTCACTGCAAATTTCATTTTCCTATCATTGTTTTTCAAAAGTTGAAACCTATGATTTGTTTATACATCATCATGAGTATTAAGTCAAAATGTACCTATGAAATAAATTTGAAATAGCTCTTAAAACATTTAGTTTGGAAGCAAACTATTAATCAGATTCTGTATTAGAAAATTAAAAACCTTTATAAAAGCAAAATTTTATTTTGTCCACTATATGATTGATGGTTTTATTGTTTTCAGTGTAAAACTGTTAAAGAACATTGGACTCATTGTGCAATATGTCTTTCATTTAATTAACTTGCTCAGTTTTCATTAGCTTTGTCAAGTTTTCAAATATCTAGTTCAAAATTATGCCTCTACTGTGTATTCAAATATTAATTAAGTTGGATTTATTTTCAGTTTAGAAGAACTTACTCTGTAAGAAAATTAATTCTTACAGAGAAGAAAATAGTTCTTCCCATGAATAAAATAGCATCAAACTTTATTAATCTTAAGTATTTAGAAGTTTCTTTATAACATTCTTCTGATTTGCATACTAGCCATTTTGTTCTAAAGTTACTTGCTAATTTGCCAGTTATCGTTTACCGTCACTGTCACTGTCCTCCAGTTGTTCTCAAGCAGGCCCAGTAACCTCACGACTGTGAGACTTGTTGTTACTGTGTCTGGCATATCGAATACATCACAGGTAGCTTGCCAGGCTTTGCCCTGTGGGCGAGATACTCTTGGTAGCTTGCCAGGCTCTCCAGGAGGGGCAGAGGAATTAAACCCGGGTCGGCAGGGTCAGCCGCGTGCAAGGCAAACGCTCTACCGCTGTGCTACTGCTCTAACCCTATCATTTACCGTAGATGTCTCAAAGCTTATCAAATTTCACTGCACTGCTTAATTTGGACAAAGCCCCCCTTCCAAAAAAATAAATAAATAAAAATAAAACCCAAACCTCATTTAGCTGTTTTTCACAGTTAAAATAATTAGCATCCACAGAAATTTAAACTCATAAAATTCAGTCATTCTATAATTTTTCTAATTACTAAGTACATCAACATTGTATATCAAGATACCTATATTTTAAACTTTTCATATTAGTTGGGGTTTTTTAATTTTTTTTTTTTAGTTTGTTTAATATTGGCTGCCCTCTAGTGGGGTAAACTGTTCTTTTCAAGTACACTAAAATCTGAAAAAGTCATTTTCATTTGGAAGTTGTTTACCCTTTTTCACTTATTTCAGTTATTTACAAGAGTCTTAGTACTCTTGTTTTTATCAGCTGTTGTACTTAATACAATTAGTTTTATGGCTTTGCTAGAGAATTTTAGTCATGATGGTTTTTTAAGCAGCTGTTGTAGGTTTAGCATTATATTCTTAATAAGACGCATTAAAAAAAATCTGTGTTTTGATAGTTCTTATATTTTGCTGTCTTTTTGGCTATGACCTGTCATTTATGCTGTGTGTTCCCAACTTCTAAGATGTTCTCATTCTTCCCGTTGCAGATGCTACAACTGTGGTGGCCTTGATCACCACGCTAAGGAATGTAGTCTACCTCCTCAGCCAAAGAAGTGCCATTACTGTCAGAGCATCTCGCACATGGTGGCAAACTGCCCACATAAAACAGGTGCGCAGCCGCCTGCCACTTCTCAGGGAAGACAGGAAGCAGAATCACAGGCGTGTACTTCAACTTACCCAAGGGAGGTCTTGGGGGGCCATGGCTGTGCCACGTCATCACCGTGTCCAGAGGCTAGATCCGAGATCACAGAGTGGCCGGGCAAGTTGCCTCAAGAAGCTTCCTTTGCAAAGTCATCCGCAGCACCAGAAGAACAGAATAAAAAGGGGCCTTCCGTTCAGAAGAGGAAAAAGACATAACCCTTCTCAACCTACCGTTTTCTTTCCCCAGTTGGGAAGTCTACCTCATGCAAGTACAGGGGAACAGTATTTCATAAACAGCAGCTGACCTGGGATTTTAACTACTGTTGAGGAGCTGTGAATTTTTTTTTTAAGACAAATCACTCTAAGCAAATTACACTTGAGCAGGGTGTCATGTTTTAGGTTATTCAGAGAGGAGGATGCTATGTAAATTGGTATGTGTATGTATGAGCGGTGAGTCTGTGTGTTGGAAGATTTTATATAGAAACATAGACATATATATAAAGAGGGTTTGTCTTTATATACGTGTATATGTTGACACAAGCACACACCCTCCCACTCAAGAATTGGACATTCCCAAGATGTAAAAGTCCGCCTGAAGCATTTTAGATACTTTTGAACATAACCCCTGGAGTTTTTCTTGAAATGCCATTCCCTTTATATTATAAAGAAATAAACACATGACTTACTTTTGAGTGAACCAAAGGATACTTCAGATCTCAGAGCTGCCAATCATCTGGTTTCATCAGGTTTTTACGTCATTAGTTCTCTGGTGTTTGGGATTGCCTCTTTTTCTTGATATTGATAGAATATTTCCCTCCCCATCCCAGTCCCATTTGAAGGCAGTACCTTAACTCCATATGCCTCTGACTGCCATAATCTTTTTTTTTTAATGTGGTATATATAAACTCAAGAAGACAATGAATGTGTGATTTTTGATGTGGATTCATATGATTTGATTGTAAATTAGATGCCTAGTAAGGGAAATGAAGGGGACGGCAATGGATAAATCCAGTTGCTTGATTATATTCAGTGGTATTTTGATACCAGCTCATTATAACCTTTTTAATACATGAGGTTTTTAGCGGATTCTTACAACAGCATCTTCCCTAATCTGCATCAACCTTGTAGCCATCATTTTCAGCAGGTGAGCATCTTTTTTTACTACTGAAGACCTTGGAGGAAAACTCCAATCATTTGGTATATGTGGCTGTTTTTTATCCCCTCCAGAGAGTTGGTTACCAGCTTCTATCTAAAACAAACAAAACAGCACTGATGTTAATAAATCACTGCCATTGAAAAGGAAAATCAGTGAATGCTCACAATTGCCCGATGCCAGTGATCCTCAAAAAGGGCAGCTATGGTGGCAGACTAGTAGAGTGAACCTGGGGAAGAGGTATGAAACCTCTCCTAGCAGAGAACTGGATATGTTTTGTATAATTAGATTGATCTTAGGGAAGTCACTTCATGATTCTTGCTGAAGTAACTAACCTCTGTGGTGGATTCAGGAGGAACGCTGAGGGGGGGGGATAGAAATGATCAGGTTGGTCCTCAGTTACATTAGAAATGGCTTGGGATCATCGTGCTGTTCCCTTTCGGTTTTAGTCTTGGGGAAAAAAAAAACAACTCCAGTTGGTGCCATCCTAGTTCTTGATGTTTTAGGTAAATTTCAGAAACATCACTAAGAAGGTACCAATTAATTGTAATTCTTAGAATCCTCAGTACTTGTAGTTTGTTATGAGTGTTGGTGTAAGCTCAGATAATCAAAAAGAGAAAATAGCACGACTCAAGTGAGATATCCCCTGCTGAACCATTTCTGCTCCTTGCCCCACTTCTCCTGCCATGGGAGACTTGTGCAGTTGCTGCGGCTCCAGCAAACCACCTCTAAGGAGAAAATGCCACAGGCTGGGCCACCAGACCTAGAGTTCAGCTGGAATTCCTAGACAGTGTTTTTTGAGACTCTCCATGGCATATTCCCAGATGCCCATGTGCTGTGATACAAAGCTTACCTTTGACGATATTGAATGTGATATAGCTGTAGAGAAGTACTTCCTTGCCTTATGTGAGGATTGTAAGCTTATTTAAATTATGTAGACAAATCAAAGTGGCATTGCTTCGTTTTTTAGCAGGTATAATAAGCAGGTTAACAGCAAAAATGCAAAACACATTACGTCACTTTGAAAATTCAAACCAAAGTTCCTTGACCTTATATAAACTAGGAAATTATGGACTTGAGAATTGGACATTCCCTGTTTACGTATAAGACAGTTTAGAGCTGAGATCATGGTTTTAAAAAAACAGAAACGTTTTATAACTCTGTACCTTCCTGGTGCAGTTTGAATCATTTTAAGTATCTTAACCAGACTGAACGAAGAGCACATACCAAACCTATCTTATGATTAAAAGTTGGGGTTTATTTTTTATAAAAGAATATTATCACTATTACATCACAACTCAGGACAAAGAATTTTGCTCAGGGAACATATCATATAATGTTGTTATTGTTTCTTTACAGAAGAGTCTACAGTCCTGCTTACTCAAAACCAAATAACTTAGATCTTTATATAAGTATTATGTACTGATGTTAGTAACTACCTCTGAGTTTGACATGGATCAAAATTTCCAAGTCTGTATCAGTTCTCCTGTTTTTATTTCATGTAAAAAGTACTTTTAAAGCAGAATCCCCAAACTCCTTGCATATGTGAATATCACTGGTGTGAGCACAGAGTCCATTTACATGGGTGAAATATTATTCTGTTTACAGCAAAAGGCTACCTCATCGTTGATGCATAGCACACCTTCATGCTGCTGCAGCCGTCCAGTGGCTGGTAATTTTCTCTGGTACAGAACCTTTTTATCTATATTATAGATAGATTCACAACTGCATGTTTCTGACAAACATTTGTGAATAATGAGGCATCTCTTTAGCAGAGTCTCCGTGCATTTCCTTCAAGTTATCATGTGTTTTGTGTGAAGACTTATGGGCACTCTACCACTTAAGCAAAACAGCCATCTTGGAAATAGCTGCTTTGCTCCGAGGTTGGCGGGAGGGGTAGCAAGAGGAGAGTTTGGTGTATGAGTATTTCATGCTGGGCGAAGTGTGTAGGGCGTGCCAATCTCCTTCACTGTGTCCGTCCTGCCCTGAAGCCGAGCGTACCACAGCCTGCTTGCCCCAGGCACATAACGAGCACTGGCTTATTGAGGAGTGAACACAGAGTGAACGTGCAATGCCATTTCTAGCTACTGAGGGAAAGGGTCTGTGCGAAGCAGTAAAGCATCAGTTTACAGGGGTTACCAATGGTGGGGCAGGAAGTCTGTGGGCTAGTTACCCCTTGACCTCACACACCCCACCCCCAAACAAAAATGTAATTCCTAAAAAAGATGCACTACCGATCATTTGGCCCTTTGACCTATTTGTCGCTGTGTGGCAGATTATAGTAGAAACATTTTTATACTTGGATTTCTAGTTTATACTAGAAGACTTTGGATGTATTTTTAAAAATAGAAAGATTTAGAAAGATTTTTACCTGCTTGTAACTTGCAAGTTTGGAGTGCAATGTAGGGGAAAAAAAGATCAAGAAACATCAAGTTATTAGCGTTGGTCCATCTACAAATACAGGATGTTTTTATTGCTGATTTTCTTTTTTCATACATGCCGGCCCAGTTTTATATTTTGCACCAGTGTGGCCCCCAAGTTACTGTTAGCTGTATTTAGTTTGTGAATAGAAGCCCATAAGTGTTAATAGACTTTGTAACATTCACTGTGAGATGAATTATACAGGACATGGGAAATCTCATTAAGTCTTAAAGTTAATTTAAATTAATTTATCTGTTTTCGCTAAGAAATGTTTATCATAAAATATATATGTATTTCCCCTTTGGTTATAAAATTCGGGAAAGTATGTACAAGTGCAGCTGCACTGACTTTAATTTTCTAGATGTCTTAATGAGATTTATTTGTTTTAGAGAAGAACAATTTGTTTAAAAGCATCAACTTCTGTCTTACATACCTGTCAACAGTCTATAAGATGTGGTGGTTGTGTGATCTGTGTCATAGTTGTTCAGTGAGAGTGAGAGGTTGCCCTGTGATTCATTTTTAAGTTTTATATTTGGAACAGAGCTGCATAGTTATTGTAAAGTACTGTACTGTGAGAAACTATTATGCTATTTAACACATCTGTGGCTTACCACCCACTAGAGTTACCAGCTTGAAAATGATGGTGTTGACTACCTCTTGAATTGCTTACATCTGTCAACCTTTGGCACCCACCACCAAGCTGGCTTTAATTATTACTATGTGTTGCTTTTTGGTATTATCAACTCTTAACCATACTAGAGACCAAAGTGAACACTGATTTCTGTATGTCTTTAATATGGTGTTTTATCTAGTGTTTTTAAATTATCCTGTGTAGTATTTAGATGGCCTCATTGTCCATTTTGACTCATGTTGTTTACAAGAGAAAATAAAGACACTTGAACTGTATGTTTCTAAAGGATAAAGAAAGGGGTACATGTCTGGAATGTCATTTCACTTGTGTATATTCATTTTGGTGGACTAAAGTTCTATTTGCCTTTTGGCAGGCTGTGGGTTTTATATTCTCATTTCATGCCTGATGTCTTATTCTGTCAATTATGGATATTTTGAGGTTAATGAAAATAACTTGATTAAAAATAAAGCATATAACATTGGAATTTATAATGCGTGTTGGAGTTTTTTTATGGTTTGTATCACTAAAATGAATAGAGAAAAGATCTTCTAGGCAGTATTTCATAAATCCAACCATGAATAGAATAGTTTTTAGCATATCTTCAGGTAGTGATGATTATAATATGGAACTTCAGTTTAAGGAAAAGTCAGGCCCTGTCATCTTTAGAAACCATCTGCCTTAGCTACCAACAATGGTGAGGTTTGTGAATCAAGCGGCTGTAGTGAAAGTATCAACCCTTTTTGTAGAAACCATTTTAGAAATTTTCCTACAAAATCTCCTAAGAATTTTTACATATCTGAAAAGAGTAATCAAGACCAGGTTACCGGGTACCAATGATCTCAAATACTAATATAGGTTTTCTAACTGCCTTTGCTGTACTGATGGGGCATAAAATAAATTTGGGGGGCCATACTCCACGGTGCTGAAGAGTTCTTAATCTATGCTTGGGGTTCATTCTTGGAGATGCGTATGAACCTGGTCCTCCTATTCATTTACTCTGCACATTGAGCTATCTTTCCTACCCTTAAATCAATCTGATGAGTTCTGTTAGCTAATCACACAATTAAATTCATTTTCATTTCCACTTTGTGCTGTATAATTCATTTTTATTTTTATGGTCTATTATGATTCCTACATTTCCTTTTTATTGTGTACTAAAACACATAATACTTTTTCACTTTTTTGGTTTTGTTCTTGGGCCACACCAATTCCTTTTT